TACTATATATATATTGATGCTATAGTTGAATAGAAAGGCCAATGAGCCAATTCCCTAAAACCTTATATGCCTCCTCCTCCTCCTTCTTCATCATTGTCGTCTTTGCATAGTAGACAAGGATTTACAGGACTCAAAAACTCACATCCCTTTGTCGGTGTGACTCTCAGTTGATTTTCTTGCTCTGTCATTATTAGTTGAGGGCCTTGGACTTAAAAATGCCATTCAACGAAGCCACCACGTCCAAATTTAAGGTCATACTTTAACATTATCTTATCACAACACATTTTACCAAAATGGGGTTATCAAAAAGAACTTATCCATGTTTCCATAAATTAAAAAAAAAGGAACTTATCCATACATACAAACGCATAAAGATGGCACTCTTCCATGATATGATGCCTAAGGACATGAAGGTTTACGTGGACGACATATCATAAATTTCAAGGAAGGGAAACCATTGGGAGAAAGTTTAACTAGTTCCCTTAGATTATTTGTGGTTTAGTTAATTTGGCTACTTAGATGTTTTTAATAAGTTTGGTTTAAGTGGTTTAATGTGGACAACTGGACATAGACTATACTAATTAGCATAATTAATTAACGAAATTTCCTTTATGATAAAGAGGCGACATTGGCGCTAAAGTCCATTCTACCTCCTAACATGTGTAATAGCAACCAATGCAGTCAAAAGCGCGATTCTACCTAGAAGCGGAAAAGGGGTAAAATCGTAAAACGTAGAATCAAAGAGTAAAAGCGTAAGTTTTTGACGCATACTGAAAAATAACTAAAAATCTATTAAGTAGGACATATGCTATGCAAAATATGAATGCACAGAATTTAGATAAGTTAATAAATACATGTGATTCATGTTTAAAGTAGAGCAACTTATAGCATCTTAATAATAAGTTCGTAAACATAAATTTTAACGATAAGCCCCTTTTCCCTCTATGCTAATGAATTTGGAAAAACCCTAGTTGGTGAATTAGATTACTCTATTGAAGTAGAATGCATCCAAGTACCTAGTATGTATCTTTTAATCTCAAATGTATCATATTGTTAGTGATTTACTTTAAAAATATTCTTTTTATAATTAATTTCATGAAAAGAATACTCATGTAGCGAACTAAAAGCGTAAAAACGTAAAGCGTTTTGGTGAACTAGAACCGTAAAACCATAAGTTTTTAAGTTTTAAAGCGCAATTTAGTCCGATTTTATGCACTTAAGTTTTTATATGGAAACGAAAGCGTTTTGGTGACCCAAAAGCGTAAAATAGTAAGTTTTTAAGTTTTAAAGCGCGATTTTGACTGCATTGATAGCAACAACACATATTAGGTAAGGCAAACCAAATGGTGCATTCGACTCGGTGCACTAAAGAGACTTATATCACCTAATCATGTGAATGTTGTTTCATGATAACATGTCAATGTGATGTGTAATAATAGAGATGCTTATGAGGGAGAACAAAATCAAATTGCACATATATTGCTCATATGGGATGAAATTTACCATTTAGAGTTATAAATAGACATAACACAAAATTCTCTCCTATCACATTTTCAAGGTAATTGTACGCAATGCAGTCAAAATCGCGCTTTAAAATATATAAACTTACGGTTTTACGCTTCTAGGTCACCAAAATGCTTTTTTTTCTATGTAAAAACTTTAGTGTATAAAATCAGACTAAATTGCGCTTTAAAACTTAAAAAATTTTGCTTATATTCTTTTAGTTCACTAAAACGCTTTACATTTTTACGCTTTTACTTCACTGAATGGGTATTATTTTCATGAAATTAATTATAAAAAGTATATTTTAAAAATAAATCACCAACAATATGATACGTTTGAGATTAAAAGATACATACCAGATACTTGGATGCATTCTAAATTTCAATAAAGTAATCTAATTCACCGTCTAGGCTCTTCCCAAATTCATTAGCATGGAGGGGAAGGTGGCTTCTTGATAAGATTTATGTTTAAGAACTTATTATTAAGAAGCTATAAGTTGTTCTACTTTAGACATGAATTGCAAGTATTTATTAACTTATCTAAATTTTGTGCACTCATATTTTACATAGTATATGTCGTACTAAACATATTTTTAGTTCTTTTACAGTATGCGTCAAAAACTTACTCTTTTACGCTTTAATTCTACGATTTACGATTTTACCTATTTTCCGCTTCTAGCTAGAATCGCGCTTTTGAATGCATTGATTGTACGAAAATTTAACGTACTTAGTAACAATTAGTAACAAATATCTAGTAAACGGTGAAAAAAATTCCAAAAGTTTTAGCTTTTTGCTAGAGTTTGGTCTTATATTACCCATTTGAAAAAAAATATCAAGAACTTATAGATTTACTAAAATTTTCAAGTGCGTTGGCGTTTGAGAAAATACAAACATAAATATCCATCTCACGAATAGCCAGAACCTTGCGGATAGCTAAGATGTTGTTTAAGCATAGCCAAATAAAGAAAATGAGTTTGCGAGGAATTTTTAAATCCCACACCTAGGCTTGGCAACTATATCCATACCCATGGGTTTATAACTATCCAACCCATTTGGGTTGGGTCTGAAATCCAATTAAAGTGTAAATGGATAAAGTTAGATGGGTCAATACCCATACCCATTATGTTGGGTTTAATTGGGTTTTACCCATGAACTTGGGTTAAAAAATCCAAACCCAAATAATTAAAAAAAAGAAAAACGAAACTAAAAAGAAAAATAAGATTAATCAGAAGAGCTTGCTAGCAAACTCATCCAACGGCGTGCCTTCATCCCTACTATTAGCACACTTTCCAGCCAGCTCCCGGACCTCCGCCGGACTCGTTCCGAGCGCCAGCCCGACCTTCATCGCGAACACCTCACCATTTTTTCTCTCCTCAAATCCCGATTCGCCGAGAGTGGAATCGATCGATTCCTCGAGCTGATCGAAAAACCCGGCGCAGTTCCTGTACATCTCCACCACCATCCCGATCTGGCCGCCATGCTCCACTGCCACTAGCTCCGACGTCGCCGCCGCCCAGTGCTACCAAGCTTCGACGTCGCCGCCGCTATAGCTGATTCCGTTGACTCCCGCTGTAGCCAGATCCGTGGCCTACTAATATCTCTGAAAGAGTTTTTTATTGTCCTCGGGATGGTGGTAAGTGCTTCAATTGCTTCTGGTCTGTGTGTGTATTCACCTCATGGCCACATGTGCCTGTAATTGGTTGCATCTCTGATCTCTCTGATTGACATGGATGCATTATAGGCTGGCTATGTCGTTGGTAGTCTTCTAGTTGAGACTGTAGCATATTGTACAACAGGGTACCCGACATTCTTGAGTATCATCTCCACTCCAGCTAGGCACCCCAGAAGTTGCAGCAGCAAGTGCTATCGCAATCTGCAGGCAGCTGGCTGCTAGTGGAGTCGTCGTGGTGTTGACAGCCAGAGACGAAAATAGAGGCATCCAGGCTGTTGACGACCTCAAAACCAACCATGGTGTCTCCTCCGATAACATCGTTTACCATCAGCTCGACGTGACAGACAGCTCCAGCATCTCTTCTCTTGCCGATTTCATCAAAACCCAGTTTGGGAAACTTGACATCCTGGTTGGTACTACCCCCAATTTGACCAGTTCCGTAACAACTCCTTTCGACGCCACCAATCCCAACTATCCCGGCGACTCCAATCGGCACACGCTGCAGGAGAGCCTTCCCAGCCTTCTCCGCCACGGCATCCGCGAACAGCACCACCGCCCACTGCTTAAACTCCTCCGCTCCCAGCGTCATCGGCTCTTCCTCCGGCGCCTCCGCCTCCTGTTGGGCCGGGTTCTTAGGGGCTCGTCGGAGGGTTTCTACGACCTTCAGAGCTGAATCCACTTGGGCCTGGATCGGCGGCGTGGGGACCCAATTGACGATGAGTGGAATTTTGTTAGTGGTGGTGAGGATGGAGTGGATTTAATCGGAGGCAGTCGGGAGTTGGTAGGGAAGGTGTGAATAAGCCGATTCGCAGGTGGCGGTGAACGCCGATGAGCTGCTGAGAGTGGTTTCCGCCTGCTTCGATTGGCCTCTGCTTTCAGCGGATGAAAACAGAGGAATTGCCGCCGGAATCGGGTTCGTCGGCGGAAAGGCGGCCTGATAGCGGGTAGTACGAGGACAGAGCAAGGGAGAAGCTCCACGACGAGGGGAAGCTCGCGGACTTGGCCGAGCTCAAGGACACGGAATCGGCGCCGGCATTCGGCACCGGCGAAGTAGCTGGACTTGGCCAAAGTTACATTTTAGTACCTGAAGTTTTTAAGAAGATACAAATAGGTTCAACATCATATGTGGAAAATTATATTTTAGTACATTAAAAATTTTGCTTTACATTTTAACACCTAATAAAAAAAAATATATACAGGTGGGTCCAAGGAGATGGGTACCCAAGCCCAATCCATACCCAAAAATAAAATCCAAACCCAACTCCACCTACCCAAACATTATCCAAATCCATATAGAATAACGCCAGGCCGATACTATGGTGCCGCACTAAAAAGTGCGGTACCGGTGACGCCGTTTTCTATTGGTCCACGTGACGCTGACGTGGTATGGGCTGGTTTCATTATTTCGAGCCCATGAACCAATTGAATTCGGAATTGTCCCAACCGAAAGCTGCTAGCCAGACGGAAGTTCCAACAGCCGTTTTTTTTTACCAGTAATTAATTTTAAATTAATTTAACTTTTATATGCATTTAGTTTTATTGTGGAAAAAAACGAAGAAAAACGAATCGTCTTTGCTCGTTCCCTCGCTCGTCTCAGAATCGGAAAAGAGCGAACTGCTCTGCTTAGCTCCACCGTCGCCACCGTCGCTGATCCAAACTTCACACCCTCCATCAAATTCATCAGCCGTATTCCTTGTCCAGCAATCCAATTCGTTTGGGTTTCGAAGATTGAAAAATCTCAAAAACAGGGGACGACGACGAGGGACGAACCAAAAGGGAGTTCCTCCATCTCCTTCGCCGGCGTTCTCCAAAATCACTCCGGTTACTTGTTCAGCCATCTTATTTCAAGATTTCAAAACCATTCCAGTCCAGATATGAGCAGAAAGTGCACCAAAGCTTCGTTCCAGACTGTCACCATTAACGAACAGACTTGTGACGAATAGAAGTTTATTACTACTCTTTTTAGTTAACAAGAACCTTGATTAAGCTAAAATAGAGATAGTGGCAGCCTAACAGGGAGAAAATCTACATTTTGCAGAAAGATTCTGCCACTTAGAAGGCATAAGCGCCACTAATTAGTCTGTTCTTTAGAGAACTATCATCAATAAAGCCAAAGAGCAAAGGACAGAGCTTTACTCATAATTTTCAAATTCGGGATTGGAAGCACAAGCTTCAATGTACTCAATATTCCGATCAGTGCACCACTCAAAACATGACCTCCTGATTTGAAACGACTGATCTTCTTCTACCACTTCTCCTGCGTCTTCATTATTCATTGACAAATTGGCACCTTCGCTTTCAGTGATTCCGAACTCATCAGAGGCAGACTGCTCAAGCTCGATCTTTAGTCGCTGCCGCAACAACATCCTTCTGTATTCTTGGTGAACGGGATGGCCCGGAACAGGATCTAGTTTGTTCCCGACGCATAACAGTATTTCAAAATTGTGGATTTCGGTGCGGGATACCCATTCCTGAATTGCAGCAAGCAACGGGAGCACTTCAATTCTTGTCCTAGTTTCTCAAAAAACAAATGAATTGAATTACCAGAACACGAGGGGGCGACGCAGAAGGAGGGACTCTTTTCTTTCGCGCGGGATTGTCGGTGTCGGCAGAGCACTTTCCACGGATACAGAGGGCCTCCCGGTGCTAGGGATTCGTCGTTTTTGTTTCAATGGAGGAGGAGGAATACGGTGCAGGATTTTAGTGGAGGGTATGGAGTTCCGATCGGTGGAGTTGGCCGGTGGAGTTGGCTATTCTCACATTATGATCGGGCCGAGAGCTCGACGATGAAGACGCCCCTAGGATTTTTCTTTTCCTTCGTTTTTTTTTTTCAAGATAAAATTAAATGCATATAAAAGTTAAATCAATTTAAAATTAATTATTGGAAAAAAAAAAAGAAATAGTAAACGGCTGTTGGAACTTCTGTCTGTGGCTAGCGTTTTCGGTTTGGACAATTCCAAATTCGTATGGGTCATGGGCTCGAAATAATGAAACCAGCCCATGCCATGTCAGCTCCACATGGACCAATAAAAAACGGCGTCACCGGTACCGCACTTTTTAGTGCGGCACCGTAGTATTGGCCATAGAATAAATCCATACCCAACCCATATAAATGGATATAAATGGGTTTGGGCAAAAATACCCATGGGTGGGTAAATTGCCATCCCTACCCACGCCCATTTACAAACTGTATGAACAATAACATCTACAGGATGCTTCAAAGGGTAGAGCAAGAAGATTGAAAAGCAGCATGATACCCATACTTTACCTCGTACTCACCAGAAGGAGTGAAATCCCAAATAAGAGTATCGGTAACAGGAAGACACGACAAAGGAACTTGTCGAATCAAACTGACAGATTCCTCAGTAAAGAAATGTCTGATGGCATCAAGATTCCAGGCCTTAGTAGTTCGTACATGGATCAATGAATGATGAAACAGAAGTGATTGTCATTTGTCAGGCGAACACCTCGTTGAATTTGGAGAACCGAGGGCGGAGTAGAAGACAGTCATGTGTCCTGAAAAGCATAGATGGAAGCACCCTTACCAACTTGCCTCGGGATAGGTTACGGTGATTACTACAAAATAGTAATCACCATAGTTACTAAGGGTAAATTGGATATTAAAAAATAAATTGTATTAATTAGTTTTCTTAATAAATTATATTTTAGGTAGTTACAAAAATCTATTAATTACGATTCTTTTTCTTTCTCTCACTTCCGTAATCTCCAGCCATATTTTCTTTCCTTGTTTTTCTCAATTTTTCTGCAAAATAAAAAAAAACGAAATCACTACCAATCCATTAGACAATCACTACCACTTTGAAAACATCAATACCATTTGACGAAAACTACCAATATAAATCTATACCATTAGACGAAAACTACCAATATAAACAATCTACCAATACAAATCAATACCATTTCAAAAAAAATCAATACCATTGCAGATTTAATCAATACCAGTACATGCAAATTAATATCATTACATGATAATCAATACCAATGCGACACAAACAATACCAATGCAACAAAATCAATACCAATCCATAAAAACACTGAAACTTATTAACCAATACCAATACAACTACATCACTACCAAACAACAATATCATTGCGAAAAAATACCAATAGGAAAAAACACTACCACTAAAAAAACACTATCATTTCACAAAATTACATACCAATAATTTATCTTCCCTCCTTTGTCGATTTCTGGCCACCACACCGACGACAATCCAACCTTGAGAGAGAGAGAGAGAGAGAGAGAGAGAGAGAGAGAGAGAGGAGTTATGGTGGACAACTCTTGTCAGGGAGGGGGTGAGTGGAGGTTTTGGGCAGAGAGGGGGGAGGCGGTGATAGGGGAGAGGTAGGGTGAGTGACGACCGGCAGGGAGGGGAGGGCAGGAGGGTTGAGGGCAGACGGCTGGCTGGAGGTGCGTGGGAGGATAGAGAGAGTGGAGGTATAGGATTGGAGAGGTAAGTTTTAAATATAGGTTATAATATGGTGTGATAATATTTTAAAATCCAAACTATCCTTAATCTAATCTTGACCGTTATCTACAAAATATATGATGGCAAAACATGGGTTGAATTTTCAGCATTTTGAAAATAGTGGCCTGAGAGTGATTTTGGGATGGACCTTATTGTCATTTCACAAGGAGTTAATGATGCTATGCGTTCTGTTTTTTTAGTCTTTACCCGCCTGTCATATATGGGCCACCGAAGGGGCCAATAACAATAAAAATTGGGCCTTCTGTCCGTTCTTCCCGCTACCCAATAACAACAGAAGTTAAGCTATGCGTTTCATCCATAGTCCCAACTCCCAATACAGACGTCCACAGCAAATGGCCACCAGGGCAACATGCCAGGTAGACCAGTTGTTGCCCTTGCCTTCTCCTGAAACCTATTTTGCTCGCTTTCTCCTCTAGATCCGGGCCCACCCGTTGGGTGGCTATATATAATTTTAGCTTTATAATAAATTCATTATTGAACGGATACATTACGTAAATTGTATATTAGGCCCAAATTAAAATTTGTAACAAAGCATGCAAATATATAGATGCAAGTTTAAAGAATCATAAAGCTTTAGTTGGATCTCTGTACAAAATTTTCTTATAAAATTACATGTTTCCGTCTTAATACTTTGTCAATAGCTAATAAATTCTCTTCAATTTTAATGTAGTGACTAAAATGAGACGACGGTCACCAATGTTTGCGAGAATAATATATATTGTCCTGCCCTATAGGGGAACCTTCATAACTAACCCATGTACCCAAATTGTATATTAGTAGTGATGACAATATCTTATATGAACCGTGCGACCTAACCTGTCCCAACTTGTTTGGGAAGCATATCATCCGACCTCCAGTAGCTTGTTGCGAGGCATGGGTATTGCTTACCATCTGTCCCTCCCCGTCCCCATTTTTTACCCGTTCTATCTTGATTTGCATCAATATCTATATGTATTTTTTCTCTTTTGACCTTTCTAAAATCATGTTTACATCCCAAAGAAATTCTCTATACTATCTTTCAACTATTGAGACTCAATTATTCCTTCTACTACGTTTCTCATCCATTTATAAATTATTTTTTCTATGTGTTATTGTCAAAGAACTAAATATCGATGTTTTTTTTTTCAGATAACATATAAGAGTGGGTCGACCTACCACACCCCAATCCCGAGCGGGTATTATCCAACCTGACCAACGCTTTGTATAGATTGGGTATGGGTATTAAGGTATCCATCCCTTCCTGCCTCATCGATATCACTATATAGTAGACCCAAATTAAATTTTAAACAATGCATGCAATTTTAAGATGAAAGTTTAAAGAATCATGTCTCGTTAAGCTTTATTTTAATATTTTTAGAATTTTTTCTGATAGAAAGAAATGTTTCAATCTTACTTACTTTGTCAATAGCTGATAAATTATCTTCAATTTTAACTTACGCGAATCGATTGTTGAAAATTTAATTTGAAAAACATTAATTCTATAATGTCGAAAGTCAAAATAATTGAAATGATTATAAACCGGTAAGAGTTATTATTTATGGTCATATCATTAGTAAACTTGTTTTGTAGTTCAAATAGAGATTGGTGTGAGTCAATTGTAATCGATTTTTTAATATTCTACTGTTTAATACTCATGTTCTTATGCGTGTAACTTTGATATAGGTTTAAGAGACCATGATAGAGTACACACTTATTTATCAATCAAAATACTTAACACTCTATCAATGATTTTTAATAATATACATAAGTGATTTATATTGTTAAATCAATACATTTTAATTAGTGATTATTGACTATTTGTTGAATCTATTAAAGGCCTATGTTGAAAATTTCAAGCATAAATCACACCCAATAATGACCGAATAATGAACAATTTATTTAGTCAACCACACAAAAATTGGAACCAATTACAATTTGATCCACAAATTTTCAAACGGTTTGATATAAGTTTAAGAGACCTTGATAGAGTATACACTTATTTATCAATCAAAATACTTAACACTCGATCAATGATTTTTAATAATATACATAAGCGATCTATATTGTTAAATCAATACATTTTAATCAGTGATTATTGAATATTTGTTGAATCTATTAAAGGTCTATGTTGAAAATTTCAAGCATAAATTACACCCGATAATGACCAAGTAATGAACAATTTGTTTAGTCAACCACACAAAAATTTGAACCAATAACAATAATTTGAACCAATAACAATTTGATTCACGATTTTTCAAAATATCTGGTACCAAAAACAGCAAGCAGCTGCGTTTGTGATCTCTAAGGCCTATTACCCATGTTAATTACCCATATATTAATTAATGTTTCTGTGATATCTAAGGCCCAAATGAATTTAAAAAAAAAAAAAAAGACAAATGGAACCCTCGGTTGTAAATTAAAGCTTTTATGCTATGGCCCATTACCTATAATAATTAAATTAAGAAAATGACCTAATGGCCCCTCCGTGCTATGCGCAGGAGGCTGGAAACTTGAAACTAATGGGGTTCCTAATGAGAACCTCCATATAGTATGTTTAGGATTGATTCTTCTGCCCAATCTCTCTATATTTACAATTACATCAATTGGTTCCATCCTTCATTCCCTCCATAAAGAGATATGTAAAAATTGAAAGAAAATTTCATTTTCCCACACCCAGAGACTTGCAACTCAAACTGAGTTTTCTTATAACACAAAAACAATAATGAGTCTTTTCTTGGAGTTAATTGGGAATTTGGGATGAATCGCCAAACATACTTTGTTTACTTTAAGCACTTTATTTTTACTTGGATTTTTTTTTTATATTATCAATCAGGATAAACTATGAAGTAGAACAAGTCTTGCTCTAGGATTAACACATAATAAAGATGTTGACCTTCAATTCCTTTGAAGCTTGCATTATTATTACTAGGTTGTGTTGCCACGTTTTGCCGCGGCCAATTTGAGTTCAGGAGACAACCACTAACCTTTTATATTGACCTAAATTGCGGATCGTATTGGTGGACGATAACAAACCAATTTCGGCCTTTTTCTACATAATAATGAGATTTGAGTCTCGCCCATCTTCTGTCTACACCTCTCTCATTCTTCTCGCATCTGGTGTTTTTCTCGATCCTCAAATAGTTTCATTCCCCTGCGTACACAAATAGTTCTGATTTTGCCCACACCCGTATCTACACAAGACTTGAGAAGAAAACTAAAATAATGTCCACATCTGATGTTTCGGGAATCCATGGATAATATTTCATCTTTATGACTCTAACAAACATGTTAACATTCACACGTATAGTGACATTGCATAAGTGAAAAAGTATGACAATAAATCACTAAAATGAAGAAAAATAATTAAAACAACACAATTTGATAAAATTATTATATATGTATAACAAATATCTAATTTGTTGAGAAAAATAATGACTCATTCTAGAGAAATTATATACGCATGTGTATTAATCGGACGGGTTAGGTTGAAAAGTGAGAACCATGTCCACTCATTAACCGCAATATTCGAATTCGGATTTTACCCCTATCCATTAAAAATCTGTTAGGTTCGAGTTTTTCTCTACCCAATTAAGTTGAATTCGTTCGGAGATCCACAACTGTAGATACTTTTGTCATCCCTAATAAAAATAATGTTCCAGCGTTATTAGAAGTTCAAAACTCTCAAATTGAGAAACATTTTGTAGAATATGTGTGCTAAGCCAAATCTCTCATGCCAAAAAGTTACAACTATCAATTATGTGGAAGTTGCAAAATAATAAAAATACTAAAAAGAGAAAACAAAGGCATCGAAAGAGAAAGAACCAATGAAGATGATATATGTTAGCAAAATGGATATAAACATAAAATCAAGTAGGGGTGGTAAACGGTAATCCGGTAAACGGCGGTAAACTGTTTACTGGCGGTATCGGCAGCCGAGCGGGAAGTTGGGGGAGTCGGTTTACCGGACACGGTATCGGTAAATACGACGGTAAATCGGTAATACCGATACCGAAATCCTCCTCTCTACTCCACTAACATATAACATATACATCATTATTCACAAATATAAAATATTACATACATGAATGTAAGTAAGTATATGCCTAAAAAATATTGTAAATAAGAGTTAATAATAAATTATTAATTACAAAAATGATGAAAAAACTAAAAAAAATTAAAATATTACAACATCACCCCACTTCCAGAAATTCGGTTCGGTAAGCCGACAGAAAAACCGCCCGAAATCGCTTCTCATGGTATTTCGGTAATACCGGTTTGTAACCGTTTACCGGTAATTCGGTAATCGGTAAACCGGTATCGGTAATCGGTCACCAATTTGACCAACTTTGGTATACCGAAACCGGTAAATTCGGTAAACAATTTACCGTTTACCGACCGAATCCCACCCCTAAAATCAAGGTGTTTTGTGGTGCATGATAGCAAAGAGTTTAGGCAACAGTAATATATGGTTTAGCTTTATATAATATATAATAACTTTCACAACCAATTTTGGGAGATGATTAATCATGAGCAACATTTTCAAGGCCTAGCATCCGATACTGGGGGAAGCCTTCGTCTCCCGCACGAGCGATGTCTCCGGGAACACCAAGTGGTATAGCGGGGTTCGAACCTAAGACCTCACATATCTCAAGTCCGAAAGACCACAATCCCGACCAACTCGGCTATGTTACCTTGACCTTCTTATTCTTATTATATTGTTAACATGGTTATTTTCATAAATTTTTTGTAAACTTTCTCGGCCAAGGGCCGAGCCCAGTGCTAGTTTTAATAAAGAGAAAAATAGAGTTAATGAAGGGTTTAGATGTATGTTGCCACCATAGTTACTAAAAAACTGGTAACCACCCTAACGCGTTCCATCAAAGTCCATTGTGAACAATGGGCCGAAGTTAGATAAGACGAGGCATGATCAAATTCCTGCACTGATGGGCTGACGACCAATCGCTAGGCCCGGAAAGGAAAAGAAAAAGTCAAGCCCTGAAAGCCCCTCCAGTCTGCAAGAAAGTTGGTGGCATAATCTTTGGCTTCTGCAGCAGGTTTGCCAGTTTAATCAATGATAATCAGATCAAAAGTAAACTACCCCCATCAGAAAACAGAAAGAAAACTTCTTGATGCCATCTCCATTATTATCACAGGCGGCTTCATAAAACCTCGGTGGCAGGCAGGGCAGCAGCGCCAGAAAATAGATGGAGGATGCCGGCTGTCCCACTACAACTCTGTACCCATTACACCGCACTAAAATTCTTCATCTGGTCTCTCTTCTGCAGTCAACATATTTTTGCAGTCTTCTTTCCCTTGATATCTCCACCGAAGGAACTGCTGCAGAAGCTAATTTGATTGGAACTGTTGAGCAGGTGAGACATGCGCAAGGGATTCACAACGTGGAGGGCGAGAAAGACCCGTCTGCCTATTTCTCTCCCGACCTCTCAGATGCTCATCTCACCCAACTGGGATGGCGCCAGGTGGCCCATCTCAGAACCCACATTCGCCAATCTGGCCTTCATTCCAGAATCCAACTGGTCGTCACTTCTAGTTTGTTGAGGTACTGAAACGAATACTGGGTTCCTGTTTTTACGTGCTTTGATATTGTCAATTGATTGATGATGGCTATATAGGGCTATGCAAACTGCAGTTGGGGTGTTTGGAGGTGAAGAGTATGTGGATGGAGTTGAGAAGGGTTGTTATCTACACATTCCACTGATGGTTGCCAATGCTGGCAATAGTGCTTCCCCTGCAATTTCAAGCTTCGACTCTCCTCCATTTCTGGCAACTGAGCTCTGCAGGGAACATTTGGTTTGTTGTTCCTGCCTTTTATTTTTGAGATTCTAGTAATGATTAGTCTGTCTCAACTTCACCTTGGCTTTTTTGCAACAATTGACAAGGACCAAAAAGGGGGAAACAGGAAAGTGGATCCTGTGAACATGATATTTTTCTTTTCACCAAACTAACAGAGCCTTCATCCATGTGACTGGAGAAGAAGCATCACGGAGTCCCGCCCTCTTTTCCCTGCTGATGATTTTTCTCTGGCAAGTAAACCACAAAACACCAACACCATTATTGGAAAAAAAATATGCTTTTTTCTTTATAGCTCTGAATGTTCTCGTTAATGCTCGTGTGTGTGCAGATCGAAAGTGATGAAGACATATTGCCTAAACCCGGGCAGAGGGAAACATTTGAAGAAGTTGCTGCCAGAGCAATACAATTCTTGAACTGGTGACAATTTTTACAAAATCTGTTTTGTTATGTACTTTACTTCATTCACAAGACAGTGTTAGGGGTTTTGTGGGTCTGAAAAAGTCCTTCTTTGGATTCTCCAGGATTTGGACCAGAAAAGAGAAGGAGATTGCGGTTGTCAGCCATGGTGGGTTCTTGCAGGACATGTTGAGCCTGTTTGGAAATGACTGTCATCCAAATATGAAGAGTGAAATTGGCATCAGGTTAACAATGAGTTTCACTGCATCAGCTTTTGAGAAAGTCTTTTGCTGCTCCGTCTGACATAAAGATGGGGGGTTTTTTTTTGCCTCTTTAACATGCAGATTTGCCAATTGTCAGCTTCATTCAATAGTTCTGGTGGACAAAGGGTGAGTATATGTATATCTCCTCTTCTGGAAAGAAGAAAAAAAAGCTTCTGTTAAAGAGAAAGCCCTCATTTTTCCTGACATTTCTTTTTTGCCTTTTCATTCTCAGCACCATTGGTTCAGATCCTGTTAAATTTCCTGATAGAGACAGCAGCAATGCCAAGAAAGAAGAGCAGCACCATTAATAAACCCTACTGACTGGTAGCTCAGATTCTGGGAGAGTGTTCTGTTTGAAAAGTTGCAGTGATACAATAAACTTTGAGCTTCATTCTATTTCCTAGCTTCAAGTATCTATTACTGACATTAATGGAAATCATGTGCTCCAACTCTGGAACCCAGTCATGGCCAATTGATCAGATTTGGAGTTATACATAAGCTCTCTTAACACACATATGAACACAATATAACACCCTGAATGTGAATACTGTCACTAATCAGCATAACAAACTTGCCAATTTCACTAGTTTTTCTTTACAAGATCAAATCCTTTCTTTACATAAAGGACTAACCAGTCATTGAAGGTATATTCTCTCCGGAATGGGATGCTAAGTATGTTGAGCTGGCTTTTTCCTAGTTTGCAGAATCACTTGGGAGGAACTTGCCAAGGCATGACACCACCCTGTGAATTTTTCCAGCAGAAAGAGATGCAAGAATTTGGGTCAGGGTTGATCAATATGTGTTCATATTAATAAGATCACTAGAGAATGTGACTTTTACCTTTCATTCTCAGTGATCAGAGACCGAAGTTCACAATTCTTGAATCTGGAAATGAAACAATCGAAGAAGCAAGCAACCATTAGTCGTTGACATAAAGGCAACACAAATTGTGCATGAAATGAGATTTCTCACAAATTGGGAAATACTTACTGTGCGGATACTTCAGCCCTCAATGATGGCTGGCAGTCGTTGGTCAAAGCCTCTAAGGTATACTGTAAGAACCTGTCATGACAAACAATCGCAATTTCCTTCTCTGGTCGTGTCCATAACCTGAAAAATCCAATCACACCAATGTCATTCCTCTGGTTCAGAGCCGTATAATGATGAAAAATGATTAGTAGTAGAAGGTCATTACTACGCTAAGTTTTCTGGCAAAAAATATGCAGTGAACAAGCTTGCAGACCAATAAAACAGTGGAGGAAAATACCAGCTCATGAACTTCAAGCCCCTGGCTGCAACCTCCTCAAAGGTCTCTCTAACATCAGGCGTCCACATAACGTCAACATCACTTTCTATCTGTCAAGACAACATATTTCGGAGCAGTTAATTTCAGATACAAAAGGTGGGAAACCTTGAACAGTCATTGTCAATGATATTATCATATTAGTAAGTAGTGCTTGCCAATGAGAAATCAACGTCAGGGTAAAGAGACCGATACTCCGTGACAGTCCTCCTCTTGTCACAAGGATGAAGCCCCTGCAGCATTATACAAAGACGGAAATCATCAAGCAAACCCACTTTTGGGGGAAAAGTTCACATACTTCCAATTGGGTTCTCTGTAATAGGACCTACCAATCTTTCTCGACAAAGTTCATACGCCAAAATTGGTGGGTAGTTAACATCTAACATTTCTTCAGCCTCACCACCGTTATGTACACTTGCTCTGTTGGGCTTTGTATCAAACACCCTGACTGCAGTTTCCATTGTCCTGACAAATCCGATCCATTCTCGATCACAATCAACCCAAAAAAAAAAAAAAAAATGAAGAGCGCACTGAAAAACCAAGAAATTCCAACCTCGAGAGAGGAGAGGTGATGACTAATTGAATTTTTCCAAGGATCCCAGATGAAACCACGTAATTCCTCAAATCCTGAACCTGTCAAACGTGTTTCAATTCCAGAGCTTCAGAATCGAAGGGAGTTGGGATAACAATGTCTAAAAGTGGAAACTTGGGTTTTCTTTCCCCCCCTGAAAGTGGAAATTTAACTCGCCTGTTGACATCCAAGCGGGGAGAGCTGAGCATCAAAATATTCGGGAGACATCAAAGCGCTATGATCCTTGGCTCCTGCAACATTGTGGACGCCTTGCGCATGCCGCACCTACACGAAAACCCAGATTGGGGATGCCATTGTAAGCTACCAGAACTTTGCAAATTGAGAAAGCTTTTGTTGGTTAGTTTTCAATTACCAGATGAAGAACCTTGGCGTTCTCAGGTTGAGCTGCGGCGTCGCCCATTTTGGCGATGGGGATCACGAAACCCACCCACAAGGAGAAGGGAAGGAAGAGCAGAAGAGGGGAGATTGAGATGATGGGTTTCGATGAGACAGACGGAGGGAGTGAAAGATTATATCAAATTGGGGAAAATTGAATGGGACGTGGAGAGCAGAATGGCTTGTGATTCGGTGTATGCAGACAACCAAGACTGGTATTCTTTAATTTGAGGTCCTCTGTCTCTTGGCTGGGGATTTGGCTGTGTTTCAGTTTCCGGCGGTCAGCTGGACATTTCCCTGTTACCTTTTTAGCTCTGGCGGGGTCGCTTGGTTTCTAACTCTAAACAATGATTCCTGCAACACGCTACATGATTTGTTTTTTATACAGCGATTACTTAATTTGTTTTGGAATCCATGATCATGAATTGAGGATAACGTGTAATGTGATTGATGTGTATAAAAGGATTATCCTAAACAAGATACCTCTGAAACCACTGTTTCATTCAATACAATTCAATCAATAATAGGAGATGCCTCAACACTACCCACTATTTTTCCAACTCAAAAGAATTTTGTTTTCTTATGTTCAGTTAAAAGTAAGAAGGAGAAGAAAAAAAAAACAAAGAGTGAGAAAGTTTTCTGTAAATACAATATATTAGCCACAACTATTAAGCAACGGGGAATTATAGTCACAACTATTAAAATACAATTATTGGGCATAACTATTGTAGCAAATCAAAATATGGCTAACAATCTGTTAACGCCATTAGTTTTGTAATGGAGACTACCACGTCACCCGTCATGTCACCGGCCACATCAAAAGACTTAATTTTAGAACAAATAAAATAAAATAAATAAAAACATAAATTGGAGAGTCATCGTTCGACTTCTCTGCTTTTCCCTCATCTTCTTCCTCTGCAAAGCCACGAAAGAGAAAAATCCTTCGCCTTCCTCAAGCTCTGACCCTCTTTGGATCCTCCCCTTTTCGCAACACCGGCAGTTGTGGCAGAACTTGAGGACGGCGGCCGCCGGTCTTACTGGATCACGCCAATGACGGTGTTTGAAGCGTGAGAAGAGAGAGATAGTTGTTGCTTCTCCTCAATTCCGCATCGCAAGCCGTCCCCAGAAGCTTATTGCAATGGTCTTATATTCATTGGAGGAGAAGAACCAAAAGCCTCAACCTGGTGGACTCGCTAGATTCGAAAGACGATTTGGGGATTTGGGTTCTTCGTTCCTCTGTTCGCCTCTATGAAGGACGCCACAGTCCCGACATTGCATCGCTCGAAACCTATGCACGGTGGATGGTAAGTTAGGTTTGGAATTGGTTTGGAATTAGTAGCGGAGGGGGTTGGGAGAACCCCCTAGTCGAACGACCAGCTCAGGTCGAAGCGGTGAGCCGCCAATGTGAAGACCCACCCGTTCTTCAAGGGTTTGAACTTTGCGCTTGGGGTAGTGGTGCCGGATTCGCGAGCTGGTAGATTTTGTAAGCGGCGATTCGGCTATGAAGGATGGATCTCAAGTTGTACCCTCCCTATTTCTCGAAATCCCGGTGAAGGGTTTTGATGTCGGTCAAGAATTGAGAAAGTTTAAAGAGATTTGGGTCAACTGAGAGAAGGGTAGTGGCGCCGGATTCTGTTTCTAGCTTCAAGATCGTTGCGATAGATGCGAGGTCTGAGAGAAGGGAGAACATCGTTCCGCCATATTCTGTTTCTAGCCAGATCCCTAGCGGCTCCTCTTAGCGAATGGAGAAGCGAAGAAATTATTGTTTTTTTGTTTTTTAATAATTAGTTAATAAATGGATTAAGTTTGACTGCCACGTCAACATACCATCTGCCAACTCACTGTCATCTAACAAAAATGTTAAAACGGTTGGCTAATTTTTTGTATTTCAATAGTTGTGGCTATAATTCCTTTCTGCTTAATAGTTTTGTCTAATATAATGTATTTACCCTTTATTTTATAAGGATAGGTAATAGTCAGAATACCATTTTCACCGCTTTTCAACCTTTTCTTTTAGATGACAATGAATAAATTTATTGGATAATCAAACGCAATTATCATGATTCGTCAATATTGGACCGACCCATATGAATTCTTAATAATCATGAGTTGGATCAACTCATTTTGGTCGAACACAAATGAGTCTATTTGGAGCAAGATGATGGTGCACAAGAAATGCAATATGGAACATCTCACTAACTATTATCAACTCAATTCACACCTTCAATGGTGTTTATACATTTTTGTTTGTATGAGAACAAAGAAAGACAAAACCCGATCAAGTATCCAGGATTCATTTTCTATTAGGGACCCGAGGGTCTCAAAGTAAAATATTAGGTATAAGACTACTTCAAAAGTTATATTATCCCATTTAATTTGATCCATATTAAATTAAGTTTCAACATAAAAAATTGGATCTTTTTCGCTAGCCATGGTCGACACTATACTTAAATATCAATGATTCTCAAAATATCATGAATAATCAAATCTTGACCATAGCTATTAATGTGAAATCGCCAAATCGATGTTGTACTTGGTAGGGTAGAAATCAGTCCCAATATTACTTTGGGACCACAAAATTTGAAGGATAATAAATAACATAGCTTTCCGTTCCTTCTTTCGGATACCTAGAATCCAATCTCAATGGAAGATTCCCTTTCGGTAGAATCTACATCCAATAGCAATATAGCATAGCACTAACCATTGCTGCTGTCACAAAAGTATTTGCAAAAGAAGAGAATGAGAGAGATTAGTTATCTTCTCCGGCTACCGTACTCTTTTCCTGGGGCAGTCACTAATGGGCTGGAACAGTGCAGTCAAAATCGCGTATTAAAACGTAAAAATTTATGTTTTTACGTATCCAGGCCACCAAAACGTGTCAGTTTCTACTTAAAGTCGTTTAGTCACAAAAACTGGTAAAAAGATGGGTAAAATCGGTAAAATCGCTTAAAATTGGTAAAATCGCGATTCTGAAGTGTTTTTATACGATTTTGATCATCTCATAAAAATGTGCTAATTGGCCCAAAATTATGTAATTTTGGAGACATATCAGCAAAAAATAAAAAAAGGAAAACATGATTCATCACTCGTTCAACAACTAGTGTCGAGATAGGGGCTTCACATTAGGTTGAAAAGACACCTAATGGTATTCTCAACAGCCGCTGACCTTCTATCAGTCTTCTCCCTTAATCTTCATCTGTGACTCTTACCTAGGTTACGATAAAAGTTTGTGGGTAATTGATCGTGTGTAATTATGTAAACTCAAACCAGCTTATGAGAATTTGGATTCTCAAGCTTGTTACCGAGTTACGATCTACGTTTATGAGCTTATTATTAAGATGTTATGAGTTTTCTCTAGTTTTGAGTCAACACAAATTAGTTTATGTGTTAGCTATTACGTTTTAATTATGAATTTCATGTAGTTATTCACTTATCTAAAATCTACACACTCACATTTTACATACTATATGTTGTACATAACATATTTTAGCTATTTTAGAGGGTGCGTCAAAAACTTACGCTTTTACGCTTTGATTCTACGTTTTACGATTTTTTACCAATTTCCCGCTTCTAGGTAGAATCGCGCTTTTAACTGCATTGGCCTGGAAGGAATTTGAGTTTATGGGTACTTCAAAATTTAATAACTTTGACTTGATTGGGGTTATTAAGTAAACTAACATCGACGAAAGTATGAAATCCTGAACTTTCAGATCGTGCTAAACCCTATATGTATAAAGGATTTTTGTTGAACCGTAACCCACTATTCAAGGGTTTTGCTTGTAACTCACAAGCGAGAGAAAGACGTTGGTGTCTATAAACCTTTGATTGATTTGATTGATACGGAACTAATGCCAAAGGTACATATTTATAGGCTTAGAAAAGCCTAATCCTAACCGAAATCCTTCTCCTCCTTGGAATCCCGAGCTTGCAGTTCTCGGATTATGGCCACCTCCTCCGCCGATAGAGCCACCTCCACCAATGCCCGTTGTCCCTCCTCCTCCGGCAAACGACACCGCACGAATAGCTGACTTACTATGCTGGATTTGATCGTTTTTCATCCTGGCCAAGCTAATGGCGTCGCACAAGGACTGGGGACGAAACAATCGGATCTCATCAGCGATCTCCGATTTCAAACCTCCCAAATAAGTGCCTACCAATGCCTGTTGCGTCCAATCGACGCAGCGATTAGCCAATTTCTCGAACTCCTTCTGGTAATCGCGCAGGGTACCAGTCTGACGAATCCCTGGAAGGGCTTCGTCACAGCTCTCTCCTTCAGTAGGACCGAACATCGCCCACAGCTCCTGCGAGAACAGCCCCCACGAAATCGGCTCTCCCGTGTCCTTGTAGGTGCGCTTTAGCCATTGCCACCACTAGTTCGCCTCTCCCTCTAGATGAAAGGCAACTAGTGGTACCTTTTGATCCTCTGGGATCTCTTGATACTCGAAGAATTGCTCGACACGAGGAAACCATGATCCAGGATCATCACCTACAAATTTGGAAATTCATGCCGCGTGAGCTTCGCATGAAACCCGCCCCCGCTGCCGGTGCGACCACTCCCGTCGCCAGCCAACTTGCCGGCGAAGCTTCCCCGCCCCGTGCGACTGCCGTTGCCGCCGTCTGTCCTCAGCCGGGTCCAGCTCCTCTCCCCAATTTTTACCCCTGTCGTTGATGAACCGTTACCCACGATTCAAGGGTTTTGCTTGTAACTCACAAGCGAGAGAAAGACGTTGTTGTCTATAAACCTAATCCTAACCTAATTCATTCTCCTACTCGACTACCCCAACCCCAAACTCAAAGGAACATACAACGAAAAGGAAAAACACCCAAGCACAAAACTCAAAAGCCCAACCCAAAATTCCTCTCATCAATCCTCCCCCCTTGAAATCAACCTTGTCCCCCCAGATTGAACCTCGCCATCTTCTTCCTCGAACAAGCACATCACCTTAGCATTACTGCACTTGTGACCGATGGTGAATAGCTCATCGCAGTTGAAGCAGAGACCCTGAGCCCTTCGCAGCTGTTGCTCCTCCCAGCTCAATCTCTTCCCTCCTGGTGGTCCACACGGTGGTCCTCCTCCTCCTTGGAATCCCGAGCTTGAAGATCTCGGATTATAGCCACCGCCTCCGCCGATAGAGCCACCTCCACCAATGCCCGTTGGCCCTCCTCCTCCGGAAAACGACACCGCACGACTAATCCGCTTACTGCGCTGGATTTTATCGTTTTTCATCTTGGCCAAGCTAATAGCGCAAGGACTCGGGATGAAACATTCGGATCTCATCAGCGATCTCCAATTTCAAACCTCCCAAATAAGTTCCTACCCATGCCTGTTGCGTCCAACCGACGCAACGATTAGCCAATTTCTCGAACTACTTCTGGTAATCGCGCAGGGTACCAGTCTGAAGAATCCGGTCAAGGGCTTCGTCACAGCTCTCTCCTTCAGTAGGACCGAATCTCGCCCACAGCTCATGCGAGAACAGCTCCCACGAAATCGGCTCCCCCGTGTCCTTGTAGGTGCGCTTCAGCCATTGCCACCACTAGTT